TTAAAATTGTTCAAATCTTAACTTAGATGATGCAAGAGATTAATCAACTATAAATAATAAATAATAAACTCTAAAAGATTTTTTCAGTTGGTTTATCTCTTCATTAACATTTTGATCAAATTGCTTCTTTCTATAGATAATACATAAAATGTAGGTTCAACTTCTACTTGAACAACCATTTTTTGAAGACTAATCTTGTTAAATTCAATTTTAGTTTCTCTATATGCTTTAAAAAATTAAATAAGTGCTTTCAAGTTACTAATAGTAGCATTAAATGACATATTCTCATTTTGTAACATTTTTATTATTCTATTAATAGCAAATAATATATTGTACCAAATAATCATGTCAAACAAGAGCTTAAAAATTATAATGTCAGTAAATAAAATTTTAGCATATCTAAAATATCTTAGTGTTATCATATGTTTCCACTATGTGTTTTAAAGTGGTTTTTATTTTTAGCGATTGAAATCTTATTGTTTTAACACTTTCAACTTAACTTTCTTAACGTGTTTGTAATAGTGGCTTAAGTATTAGATCTTTCACATTATCTAGAAAAAAAAAAATTATACCAAAATTTGTCATATTTCAAAGTGTAAGAATGTAGAACTCTATTTTTTGAGAATTTTTCTTTATTTATAATTATAATGTATAATAATTTTTTTTGGGTCCTAAGCAAAGTAGGACTTTGGGTGATTGCCTACCCCGTCTATTGTCGGGGCCAACACGGCATGTTTTCAATGTAATCTTTTGTCTTTATCACTAGTACCATGTTGATTTCTCCAAAAACAGTTTGCTCACTTTAATTCAACTGTAGTGATGTTTAATTTCTTGATATGAAGGAAAATGAATATGGAGTAATTGAATTTATTTATCAAATTTCTTTGAGGGATATATTGCATTCTCAAGTACAAATTTGTAGACTAAATACTTGTCGTTTCAATTATAAAGTTACCAAAAAATTGAAATTCAGGAAAGAAAGAGAGGCCATGAGTTAAAATTCGAGAGAGAGATTTTATTTGAACTTGAAATATAGTTTAGGAAAAACAAACTCTTGAACCTTGTTCAATTAATATTTAAATCTTTTAGTTACGTGTGTATTAAGTTTATTTTGTTAATTTAGGGTTTGATTTATAAGTATAAGAGCATTCCTAACAATGCTCAATATTTTAGAGAGCGTATTTTTGAATATAAAGAAAATCTTGAGGAGATTTTGAAAATGAAGAATGAGATTTTTCATACAACTCCTGCAAGACTTTTTATATTTATCCTTTTTTTTTTTTTTGCTTTTTCCATTTACAATCGTGACAAAGTATTTCTCTTCTTTTACATGATTCAGCATTTTACCATTTTTCATGCACGTTTCTTTTCAAACCAAAGAACTGCATAAAATGTTGTAGGAAAGCATTATTGCTATTGTGTTTGTTACGCCTTTCTTCACAAGGCCCTAAATATCTACGTGGCAAGTGAAGGTAGGGTCCTACAGCACCAGAAGATATTAACATGATGCTGATCTAATCGAACCCCTTTTTTGTGGCCAAACCAATATGCTTGTCGAATGTCGACCCCACCTAATCATCTAACCCCTATGGGAAACAAGCAGTCCGTGAATAGAGGCGAGGTCACGGAAATAGCTTAACACAAGATCTCTCAGACAATTTTTTGAAATGTAATTGATGTGACAATTCACTGTCGTTGTCGCCACTGCCATCATATCCGATGAAGTCCAAAGTCGCAAGCTAGTCATTATGGATGTTAAAGTGGTATTAGTATTTAAGGCTTATAGCCTGCATGGATGAGGCTACGTGTCTCTTCATCCAACGACCCTCAATCATCTTTTTTAGTATAAAAGCTCACACTTAGTGTCATTTGAAGGTAATGCAAGTTTAGACTCTCTCAAATTATAACTTTACCATATCACCCTTTTATCTATCACCCCCAAGGTCGACTCCCTTTTTACATTGGAGACTCAAGTCTAAAGCTCTCTCACACACATATATTTACTTCCCCAATTGACTTGATCGTCGGAGTGCACACGACCAACTTCACCCCATCGGAGATGGCCACGTGTGGCTAACAGTTTGTTCAAGTGTGCATGAATTAAGCTTCCATGAACATGATGTGCCTTGTTATCTGTTGGTCACACACATATATTTACTTCCCCAATTGACTTGATCGTCGGAGTGCACACGACCAACTTCACCCCATCGGAGATGGCCACGTGTGGCTAACAGTTTGTTCAAGTGTGCATGAATTAAGCTTCCATGAACATGATGTGCCTTGTTATCTGTTGGTCACGTTGGAGGTACATTTTTTAGGATTAACAGATTGGCGCAGTATATGGGAAACCGCACTATAACCGCTAGCATCATTGTTGTGAAATCCATCAAAAATGAGTTATACCACAACCAAACCTTGGAAAAAGTTCTGGTTCTTGAAGAAAGAACGGCCGAGGACGTCAAAGAGGCATCTCTAGAAGCTTATTCTTAACATACGAGCTATTGTTGCACCATGAGTTCTAGTCATTATGATTCATAAGGTAGGAATCGACAAGAGGGGGCTTTTGAAGAAGAAGTCGTCCAGACGAATGTCAATACTCGTCGACCCCACCACTAACATCGAAGAGGCGGCACTACTGCACACTTACCAAGGGAGGTGGGAAAGATGGTTGTAAACATGAGGAACATGGCTCAGCAGAACGCCGCCATGCAACAATTACTCATGTAAACGCATGGACAAGCAATGTGCCAAATGCCCCAACAAGAGGCATTTTAATAGGAAGATGATGAGATTGACACGGGGGCTTACCCCCCGAGAGATAGAAGGAAGCCAGTCCAATTGAAAGGGAGGTAGAGATGGATATGTCTACAAATTATACCTCCAGTCGATTCGGTAATAACTTACCATAAGGGGCAGAAAACTTTCCTCCAGAATTTGCCTAAGAACAGAAGCCTCAGAGTTCGACTAGTGTCTTTAATAGAATTGGATCATCAAAGCCTAGGAATAGGCCCCAACGGTTACCCCACATGCAGAGGCAACAAGAACACGGGCAAGGCCATGAACCTTAGGGGGCCCTTCTACCTAGAAATAGGCAAGAGAGAAGGGACACTGCAAACTTGAGAAACCATGCCAAAACTTCTCAACCGCCTCATTACCAAGCTGAAGAGTAGGATTCAAATGGTCCATGCAAATCTTTTGAATTGGATGACGATGATAAAAGTCTCCCATTCTCATAAGAGATGAGGAATGCCCATGTTCCTAACCACTTTGTACCGCCAAAAATACCCAAATACGAAGGAAATGGCAATTCGGCGAAGCACCTTAACAATTATAAGACCCACATGTCTCTTAGGGGAGATGGTGGACATTGAAATGTAGAGCTTTCCACCTCACACTAACTGGGGCTACTGAAATTTGGTATAGTCGCATACCATTGGTAGTATTAGAAGTTGGCTAAATCTCAAAAATGTTGTCTTGAACCAATATTTGTCAAGCAACGAAGGAAAAGCCCCTATCCAAACATTGCACGATATGAGACAACGAGCGGGTGAAACTTTGAAGAGCTATCTACCTCGATTAACGAATGAAGTGATATATTGTGAGCATGTCATTGATAGGGATGCCCTTTCAGCTTTGAGGGGAGGCCTCAACATGAACATCATTTCCTGGAGAGATGTGCGAAATAAGAATTCTACCTCTTATAACGTTTTGATGGAAATGATAAGGAACTAGATTGTCAACGAGAAATTGATTGGCCATCACAACCGAACCTACAGTCATGATACAAATGATCGTATGTCTTAGCCATATCACATAGAGCCAAAGAACTCATATACTAAAAGGAGGAATACACGTCATACCCAACAGAATGCGCCTTAATCCGGACATGATCAAGAACCTAGACGCGAAAAGGCGAGACGACATCATAGTGATGAATCGCTTAGGCAAAGGCATGACAAGGACTAAAGGTGCCCAAAGGCAGAGAAGAGAACCCTTTGCAGATGCGGAAAACGTCCCCATTAGAGAGATTGATAAAATAATTGGGGGCCCACATCTTGGAGGAAAGTCAAGGGCCTCGTCTTGCTTCAATTAGCGGGCTTCAATTGCTTCAACAGGTTAGCCCTATGTAGTAAGGGCCCTGCTTCGCTTCATTCAGCCTTACTACAGACTTCAATCACTCCAACAGGCTCGTCCTCTATAGCAAAGGCCCCGCCTCACTTCATTTAGCCTTATTACAGGTTTCAGTCGCTCCAACAGGCTCGCCCTCTTTAGCAAGGGCCTTGCTTCGCTTCATTCAATCTTATCACATGCTTCGATCGCTCCAATAGGTTCGCCCTCTTTAGCAAGGGCATCGCCCGCTTCATTCAGCCTTACTACAATCGCTCAAACAGGCTCGCCCTCTTTGGCAAGGTCATCGCCTCTCTTCATTCAGCCTTATTACATGCTTCAATTGCTCAAACAGGCTCGCCCTCTTTGGCAAGGTCATCGTCTCTCTTCATTCAACCTTATTACAGACTTCAATTGCTCCAACAAGCTCGCCATCTTTGGCAGGGGTCTCACCTCACTTCATCCAGCCTTACTATGGGCATCAGTTGTTCCAACAACTCTATTACATGTATGATGACATGAAAATATTAATTGAAAACAACGAGAGAGAAAAAATAAAAATAAAAAAGAAAGGAAAAATCCCACTCGCCTTGCACTTGCCCCCTCTTAGCCCAGGCACTGCGATCCCACTCCTACAGTACCATCAAATAGAGAACCAAATTGCTACAAAATGAATCATGAGGACGTAAAAGTCAAAACATTAAGTTTGTAATACACAAGTTTCCATAGGTTGAGGACTTCTACAGCAAAATTTCCTAATAATTAATATAATACGAATTTACAGAATTTTCCTCAATAATAATATAAAAACTATTTAAGTACAATGTTTTCGTTGATTTTATACTTCTCCTCGTTCAACTGAATGCGGACTGCGACATTATTGTGTCCCGAGCATGAGTTCTCCAAACCAGAAAATCGAAGCTCCCCAAGAAGGAAAATCTAACAACAATAATACAAAGATCTATTTCGACGTCTATGGCCCAGAGGTCAGTTTATTTTTTACTCTAGATTTTTCTTTTGGGGTTTATTTCTTATTCTTTTACCCCATGAATTCTTATAAAACTATTTTCCTGTGCATTTATGTATTTTAGTTTAGACTAACATTCTGTAATAAATCAGGGTTGTTTCAAGATTCTCGATATTAGTCGTATAAAATAGTTTATTGGAAGCAAAATGGAAAGTGAAAGAACTAGTGTAAATTAAGGGTGTTCCTGAATATTTGCTTGTATGGGTTTCATCATTTTCTTAGGTTTGACTAAAAAATTGATACCTTATAGATTATGGGATTTTTTAACCTAATTCTTTTTTGTTTTTAAAATTTTACTGGGCTGTTATTAATTTATTTGATGATTTGGCATAGTAATGCCTCGCTGTTACAGTGTAAACCTTCTAGTTATGTTTCTCTGAAATTCTTCCTCAAATTATTTTGGAGTTAAACCACCTTAGATTTTCTTATCACTTATTCTTTTTCTTAAGATTTTTTTTTTTTTTCAATGCAATTGCTGCAGTTGATAATATAAAGAAATGATTAGAAATCTGTATGTTAGAAAGCGTGTAAATTGGGATGTTTACTGTTTGTGATCAACTGAGCCTCTACATTAGCATAATATAGGGGTGGATAATTTTTGGCCATGCTGTTTGTACAATGTTCTTGCACACCAATATGAAAAGTGGGTTATGGGTGTGATGCAGGCAAGAGCTGATATTGTTTTCAAGCAACCGGAAGCAAACTCAACCTTGAATCTTCATGTATGTTTTGGTTCACTATCTTGTATTTCTGTAACTTGCAAATCAATATAAGTTAAAATTAGAATAACATTGATTCGTTCGACATGCAAATGCAGGACGTCCAAGGACTTATCACCTGGGTGCTTGGTGAAGGTTTCATGCCGTCATGGGTTTTTATAAAAGTAAAGAACTTATTTCTCTCATTTATATTTGATATTTATCTGCATTTTACTTTGCACATATATCTGTATGGAAACACCTGTTTATTTACCAGTGTCGTTGGAACAGAAGAACTGGAAAAATCAGCTGCCTATTACTTTTATGAATAATGCTCAAGACCTCATAAATTTTGCAGTGAATTTATTCAAATTTGTATTCAATTATTGTTCTTCTGATATGCAGAACAAGCCCCTGATCTCAAAGATGGTTATGTTGTATATCCCTGGCCTTGACGCTGCATTGTATTTATCGCAGTCTAAAGTACTAAACAGTTTTAAAGAATGCTGCGGTATTCCACGGGCAGTTTTAGCTCTAAGGTTGGTAATAATTAGTACACTTCCCATATGAAAATTTGAACTCTATGATGTGTTTTTATTATTATGAGTATGCTTGATCCCCATTAATTTCAAAATATATTTTCTCTATCTTCTTTACAACCATACATTCTTTAGTAAAATAATATTACACGTAAATCCAAAATTTTTCCTTATTTTATAACTACACATTCTCCATCAAATCACTGTTTCAAAATGCATGTTGGCAAAAGAATGGGGCTCAAACATGTCCTATATAAATAATTGTTCCTTTTTTGTTTTGTGCTAGCTGTGTATCAGATGGAATTCAGACCGTAGATGCACTTCTTACAAGCAGAGTTAAAAGAAAAAGGGTTGAAGGGGAAGTTATTCAAAAGAAAATTTCCCAGGAATCTACTCAAGGTTTGTATAGTATTCAAAGACAACACTAATGTGGAAGTGTCACTTGCATATTATAAAGAAATTATACAGCAAACTTACATTTAGGGTTGAAACTTATTCAGTTACGACTGAAGTGCCTAGTTCATTTATGGACAAGTCAGATTCTTCTTGATTTGAAATGTGCATATATTACAATTTTGAAGAGTACGAACTAGCACGGATAAAAGAAAATAAAAGAAGGAAACAAAAGGAGGAATGAAAAATTTATTTTGATTTCTTCATTCGTTAGACACCCTGCAAGGCTGCGATGGCTATGCAATTTATTCCGGCGATAATCTTCAATTGATTTTTTGTCTGGATAGACTATGTTAATGATTCCCTTTAACGATTATTTCTCATACAGAAACTTGTGCTGGCTCCATCAGTTCGTCCTTTGCTGATCTCATAAAAAACTTGCCATTCCCAATAACGTATTACACACTTAATGCTAAGGAATTAGAAGATAATGGATACTGTAATCGACCAGGTGTTGTGCTTCATCAAATGTTTTCCCTCGCTTCATTTCATTTCTTTTTCCAGATGATGCTATGGATTAGATAATTCCTCACATTCTCTGACATAATGCAGAATTTCTATCAACACTTCCAGCTCCTTCTGGAACTCCTCCATATGAGATGTTGGCACTTGATTGTGAGATGGTATGTCTGCAGATGTTAATCCTAACTTAGTGTGCGAGAATACTTGAAAGGCTACTATAAAAATGGTAGCAGTTTATCGTGCACAAAAAGTAGTTGGAAGTGCTTTGACCGTTCTCTTTGTTTCCCTGCCCATTATGACAAAAGTGGTAGTAGGTGTTTTTTGAGTCCATATTCCTTCTGTTTGGAAGAAGGTTTTTCTGACTTGTTATTATATGTGATCAGTAATAGAATAGCCTCCTATCTGATTCACCAATATTTATTTTTCCATTTTTATGATGGATAAAGATATTTGTACATAAAAAATCTACCGAATTGTTTACCCCCTCTCACATGCACGCGGGCCCCGTGTGAATAAAAAAATCCCAAGATGTGGTCCCCACCCCCCTATTGTGAGTGACTCGGTAAGGGATTTGGTAAAAAAATTTGGTACATGTAGCATAGTCCTTTTATGATTGTGAGAGAATTTTAGGCATGCCTACGTGGCAATGAACTTACATTCATCAAATGGCTAGTAAAAATTCTCGCATCTCATATTATAGGATGCATCACATCACTTCTCACTTAATGTCCACTATGTTCTGGTGTTATATATTTCCATTACCAACTGCTGTTCCTCTTGACTGAGAAAGTCAGATGTGGCTAATCAGAAAAGAGGACTGTCCTTATTCTATTTCCTTTTTATGCTGTTTGGTTGGACACATTTTTTTTTGGTTCTGCGTTGTGCTAACATTGAAAATATTATAGTGGATAATGACGTGAATGTAAATGGTAATTGGGTTAGTACGTTAATTAGAACAAGATCCACTCTTTCTGAGATCGTTTCTTTTTCTTATTTTCCTCAAAATTCTCACGATTTACATTTTTCTTTGGGAAATAACTCTCAACATGGTCGTCTCAGCTCTGTTAATTCTTGATTTCTTGGCCTCCTTTTCTTCCGGTTTATTTTGACACCTACACTGATGCCACATTTTTTTTAACGTAGAGATTCCATTTACTCAGTCTGTACAAAATCGAAAGAATTTGAAAATCAGAAACCACAGCAAATCTGGCTTCTGAGCTCTTGCTATGTTGGCAGTTGATGGGAAAGAAAATGCACATTTTTTTAAAAATAATTTGTAGGTGACTCTGCTTTATGGAGAAAAAATTTCAAAGACAACTTGGTTATCTTCATGACTTCATGAAACATCCTACACCCTGTAGCAAATTTATGTTTTTCATCTGTCCTAATTACATAGGATTCTTCTCCATTGTTGCCTTTCTTTCTATAGAAATACAAAAGACCTCCCCCCTCTCCCCCAAGATGTTGAACAAAAAGTAATTGAAATACTGATACTGTTTTAACACAAACTTTAAAAAGTTAATACTTGCTTGGATGACTACTTAGAAGATTTTGTGTGTGTTCTGTTCTTCATGTTTGAGTGTTGGATAATTTCTGTTTTCTGTATTTGATGTTTTTATCGACTGTTTAAAATATTGTAATTGCATTTTTATTTTTCTTGTTGAAAACAAGGTGATTTGTAGGAAATGCAGCTTGTACTATATATTAACATTAGACTTCTTTTGTATGTTTTCGTTATTTTTGGGCTTAATTTTTATTTTATGTTTGTTGAATTTTTCGTACCAGTGTATTACAAAAGAGGGTTTTGAGCTTACTAGAGTTACACTGGTGGATGTTAAAGGACAGGTAGACTTTATATTACTTACTGGTTTCTGATTTTTTCTTCATGATGAACACGTTCCTGTTTGTGGACTCCCACTCTTTTCTCTTCCTTCTTCATGATTAACTACTCTCTCTCTCTCTCTCTCTCTCTCTCTCATTTAGTTTTTGTGAGTGTAGAGGACTTGAGATTAAGAAAACTATATGCATTTGTCAACGTCATAGGTGGAAAAGTATCTTCTTTCCATTAAGAACACTCTGGATTGCCATAGCATATGGTAACACAATTGGGTCATCAGTTGAATACAGTGGCTTCACATCTTGAGTTTGCACTTTTTGTAAATGTAATCAAAATTATGTAATATAATTCTCTAATCTCACTTTCCAATTGCTTCATTCATGCTGTGAAAGTAGGAACACACATTTGTGGTATATTTGAAACTATGATGCTGTAATTTCTCAATTGCTTGCATCCTTATGCCCTTGTACTTTCAACCCGCGTACTTGTTGTGGAACATTATGACCATTAGTGGTTTTTGTATTTGGTTACAATCTTGCAAAATAATTCTCATTAGGCATTTTGGTATTATTTAAGTGTCACCATGAGTTCTTCTGTACACCATATTGATGTATAATGTGAGGTGTTTTATCATATCATAATTTTATGTGGGCATCCTATCTGCATACCTCCTGTTTCTGAATAATGCAATTATGGAAGTGCTTGTTCTTTGTGGCACTCTGGGTTTTGAGTTTGAGTGCTTACATTTAGGTTAATTCTATCAACTTTTTGCAGGTAGTATTAGACAAACTTGTCAAACCAGCAAATGCAATTGTCGATTACAATACAAGGTATTTTCTCTTGTGAATCTCTACTGAAAAGCGCATCTGGATATAATTTTTGGGTATCTGGTTTAGATTTTCTAAAAACTGCATTGCATGACTTGAACATAAACATGTTCACTATGTTCTCCTTTGGTTATGTTACAAGCTATTCATTACTGGTTACCTGGGCAAAGATTGCCGAAATGAGCTTTATAATGTTTATTCTGTCATTCTAGAAATCCTTGATTAAATATTTGCTATGAATTCGTACATGAGTATGCTACTTTTGTCTCTCAAAATTTTCTTGGTTCCAAACCAAGTAGCAGATGACAATAATGGCATGGCACTCGAATTATGATAAGCAAGCCTCCTGGAGAAGTTTACAGAGAGAAATTTCTTTATTTGCTTTATCTTACTGGTTAAGGAACCAGAACTGTAGCTCTCTTGTAACCAAGGTTCAAGCTACAAGCATTTTAGCCTTGTCAGCGATTAAACTCCGAGACGGCCACACGGAATCCTTTCTTGCAATTCCATTTGATTCACCACAAATCTGCGTGAAGGTCCAGTTAGATAAAATAAAAAAATTTTACAACCATATCATGTTAATTCTGATCCACCTCTCACTATTCTGTGCTGTTCTAGTGGGACCATATTAGTATATTACTATTGTGAATGAGAGTTTCTTTAGGTTTATACAGGATGTCCTAACTGTCTAAGTTGCCATTTCTTAATCTATCTCAATCAGTATGAGTTTCACTCGTTGTCTCGATCTTCATATCTTATTTTATTTTCTTTGTAGTTTGGCTTGACATCCATCTTTAACATCTATATTGCAATTACATTCTGCTTATTCACATAATCGCATTTTCTGATTGGAGGGGTTAAATACTGCCAAATCTATCCTGTGTTTCGTGTGACAGTGGCTTCAAATTGTAATGTGATTAAGTGCTGTACGATACCCTTAAGCTAAAGGACTTTTCAAGTTCACTAGTTTTATTTACCCTTTTAAGTTTTGATAGATAGGAATTAGCTGAAGGGGCATTTAGAAACTGTAGATAACATTCAGGGAAGTAACAAACTGATTTTTGTTTGGCAATTTCTCATATCCTAGTTATGAGATAACCTGGCTTTCAGGATATTATTGGGACTGATTCATATATTCCTTTTGCCAGCAAATTGTATTATTGTGTGAGATTATGTAGTTTTGAGATGTTGCAGGTACAGTGGAATCACACACGAGATGTTGGATGGAGTGACCACAACTATTGAAGCTATTCAGGTTTCTTGTGCGAGCCAGTCTTCTGCCTATTATTGTTATTATTATGTTGACAATCTTATGCTCGAGCAGTTTTGACTAAGCTTAAAAGTTACTTTTTTAGCAAGGAAGTTAAGACTTCCTTCCTAGAAAAGCAAGTTTTGTTAGCAAAAAAAGGGTAAATATTACTTCTAAGATTAGAGAAACATGCTCAGGAGAAATCTTACCATTTTCTTCAGGGTCGGATTTTACTTCTTTTATATTATTTATACATTTCTAACATTTGCTTCTATATTCAGGGAGAGTTTCTTCAACTTGTTTACAAAGAGACGATTCTCGTTGGACATTCACTAGAAAATGATTTGTTAGCATTGAAGATCTGTCATGATCTGGTGATTGATACGGCGGTTTTATATAGGCACCCACGTGGCCGATCTTACAAAACAGCTTTACGCATACTAACGAGGAGATTTCTTTCTAGAGAGATACAAGATTCAGGAAATGGACACGATAGTGTTGAAGATGCAAGAGCCACAATGGAACTGGCATTGTTAAAAATTACACATGGTAAGCAATTTATCTTGTCTGTCAATGTACATTAAAATATCTGCACTTAAATATTTGAGCAGATTGTGTTATAACTAGGAATAATTTTTTCCTAAAAATTATATTATATTTATTTATGATACTTTTTCTAGTGTTATCATATGGATCGGGGTAGTTGGACAAGGCTTTACAGTAATCTACATGTTTGATTAAATATATTCTACTGGTTGATATACATTGCCAGCGGTGATTTACCACATCTTCATTTGTTATGAAAGATAAATTGCATGTGCCATCACCGAAGTATATTGCAGTCTTATACGACCACTTTTTTCTTGACATTAAGCTATTTGAAGTTCCAATTTTTGGTGCAATTGGTCCCCATTCATGGTTTTCCAAGATATAAAACAAATGGGACATTTTGAAGCATTGACAGGTAAATATAGAATTGAAAATAAAAGGAAAATAATAATCGTGAGTAGAGACTAATTGCGTTTAAAATGGAACACTGGGAAGCTTAACACTAAGGAAAATGTTGTGAATGAAAGTGCAAATGGGAGTATATGTTGGGTACGGCGCACAGTTTATCCTATTATAGAAAAACAAGTATTAGTATTAAATATTAATACTCCAGCTGTGATTCAAACCAAATTTGGGGGTACTTCTGCCCATAATTTTTATGGTTATGATGTCGTTTGGCTTTTGTATAACCTTTGGATCAGCCAAATCAATAAAAAAGCAAGTATATTTGTATTAGCAAATAAAAAATTTGCATGTCTTGAATGTGTAGAAGCAACATTCTGAACACCTTTTTCGCTGACTGAATATCATGCTTGTTATGTATACATGTAGATTCTTGAGTAACATGCTTATTTATTTGTCATGTTTTTGGAGTTAGGACCTGATTTTGGCTTGCCTCCATCATTCACAAGGAAGAAACTCTTGTCAGTTTTGGGCGATTTTGGCAAAATCTCATCTTTAGTTGATAATATATCCATCGTGAAGCGATATGCCTCTGAGACATCTCATGCAATTCCAGTATCTTCTGATGATGAAGCTCTTTCGAAAGCCACAAAAGAGGTATATTCACATTTGTAATTCTCACAAAATGAAGATTTCAAGGTGTAGAAGAGGAGTAGACTGAAGATTAAAAACACCGTTAGACACCGAATCTATGCAATTGTTTATTGGGCTATTTTCTCAAATTAGTCATTGAACTCCAATTTGTGTTGTAGTTCAGGCAATCCATATGCTAAATTAATGGAAATAATAATCAGAAAAAATGACATGGTGCAAAGAATTAATTAGGGCATTGTTTTTATCATCTAGCTGGACAAAAATGTGTGTTTTTGGACTATTTCTGCCTCAAAATGCATAACAAAAAAAAGTAACAAAAGACAAGAAAAAAGCCTGAATATATGAAAAATGAAAACTTGTAAACTCACTTGCCAACTTCCCTACATCTACCACTACTGTAAATGCAACCACCACCATTTGAGCATTTCCGTTAGTTTAGCATACAGAGGTTGACATATGACAGAGCTGAAGCATAAATGAGAGTTTGGTGACTAATATGGGGAAAAAAAACTTTTAAGTGACTAAATTGTAACAGCTATAAATTGAGTGTGTGACAGGGTTTTCATGCATGTGAGCTCGAGCTGGAAGGGCAGGGGGCAGGTCTAGGAGTGCGTTCTGTTCTCTCCCATCACATAAGCAATTCCTCAACTGAGTCTGTTCATGTATCTTTATCCTATGTTTATGGTGATGCACAGGTAAAAAATGAGAAGGTGCACTTCGTTTGGGCCCAGTTCTCAGAATTGTTCACCTATCTCAAGAGACAAGCTAATGATGATGACAAGCTAAATACAAAGCTAGCAGAGATGATATCATTGCTTACATGTGAGCAACCTACTGGTAAAAAAAGCATCGGATATAGTGTCACCTCAGAACTAAAGGAAATACTTAGTCGTATCAATGGTGGAGTCAAAAGCATATACTCCAGTCTACCTCGTAATGCCATGCTTGTTATCTGCACTGGACATGGAGACACAGCAGTCGTGCATAGGTAAGTTGTCGTATCGCTTCCGTATGATTTATAAACATGGTTTTGCATTCATCTCTCTGCCATTATTTCTCTCTCTCTCTCTCTCTCTCTCTCTCTCTCCTCATTTTCTTTTCCTCGGTTCTTTTTCATTTTTTGAGAATGGAAGACTTCAAATGCTACATTGGCTAGTTGAATCTTTTGAAGTTAACTGAAGAAGTCCCCCATCTTATTATTTAATTTTCTTTAATATTAAGTTGAAAATAAATGTGTTGCATGATAGATCAAGAAAGTACTTTATGATACGGATAAAAAATCTCTAGGAATCATTAAGTCGCCTATGCAGAAAGATTGAAAAGATATAAGCTAATTGTAGGACTCTAAAGACGAGTCATATTTCAATCTTAAATGATTTTCAACATACTGTATGAAGTATTCATTATGTGTTGATTTAACTTCTAGCAGAGCAGGGGAGAAAATGCAACTTTTTCCTTTTTTCAGATTCTAGCTTTTGTGAGGTACATGTTTTGTTTCAGATAAATAAGAAACGTAATCAAAATTTAAGGTCCTGTTTGATCCATGTTTCAATTTTATGTTTAAAGGATTTGTTTTAAGATTGCTAAAAATGCGTTTGATTTGTCATCTTTAAAAATTATTTCTCAAGACAGAAGATTAGAAAATAAGTTTGGTTTGAAATTTTAAACAATTGTTTTATAACATTTGATTATTCAGTAAAAATCACAATTTTATGTTAATATATTATTAAGTAATGTATACATTTTACAATTGGAGAATCTTTCAATATTTTTCTAACTACAAAAGTAAAATAAAAATAAATAATAATTTGTGTTCAAAATATAGGAATTAAAAATAAAAATACAAATCGAATTTAAATATGTTTTTTGAATTTTTTCTTTTTATAAATAATCATTATGAGCTTGAACTATTTTTATTTTTTATTTTTTATAATTTATATTTTTATTATAATTTTTTTATTTTTTAGAATTTTAGATTTTATTCTTTAATTTTTTAGAATTTATCAATTTTATTTTTAGAATTTATTTTCTTGATTTTTTAAAAATTCACAGAATTCTGAAAACACTCAAAACTTCAAAAATACATTTTAAGTTTTATATTATAATTATGCTTGTTATCGAAAATGTATTTTCAAACATACCATATCAAACTCGTTATCATTGTTTTGCAAAACCGAGAACAACTTGAGAATAGCAAATCAAAGCACCCTAAGCTTTCCCGGTTCAGAAATTTCAAAACAGAGGAACTCATATAAGAAATGATATGCACAAAAAATTAAAGTATATGCCTACCATATCAGTTTATACGAAATTTTGCAAGGACAACATTTTCTTGAATATCAAGTGGCAATATTATTATTATTATTATTATTATTATTGCAGATAACCAGAAGATCTTTAACCTCATGCATCTTTTTCTAATATATGGTATTGTTAATTAACTAATTTATTTGTGGCTGATGCTCGAAGATTACGGAAAATCCTATCTGAGCAAACAGAAACTGCAATAAGCCGCGAGAAGCTTGTGAAAGCTTTGGAAGAGCTGCAGGCTCAAGCTGAAGTGGGATTGTGTTTTGTTGGTGTTAAGCACTGAATTTACTTGCAATCTACTTCTCTCTGTTAAAAATATGTAATTTGTCAATTTTGATGGAATTGTTAGAATACTATGTATATTCCCCTTATGGGGGTTCTCAATTTCATGGCAGATTGCATCTCCTGTACTTCTAGAAATCATGGGACTCAGAAGTTCATATTTAGTATGAAGCATTTGATAGTGTGAAATGTTATAATCAACGAGTTTTTTTTTCTTTAATATTGTCAGGTGCTGTAGAATCTCATCTATTTAACGTTTTCTAATGAGGCAATAGCAAAACGTCTCGTTTGCACAGATTAACAATTCTAGCAAAGTTTGGCCATGTTCGTACATTTGACATTTTAAGTTTTTTGTCTGAACTAGAATCATCATATTTTTGTTCTCTCACTAGTATCTAGAAAGCTAATATTAGTTTTGAATAAGGCTTGTTCATCAACTCCTTTAGCAGTTACACGAGCATGTTATGCTATTGCTTCTTCTGAGGACCCTTAGGCCTTAGCATTAGAAACTGTGTTGCAGATTGTAACGATACATCAGGATGACTTGCGATCCAATGAGTCAGGCTTTGTTTTGATGCCTTCATTTGGCTGTTGTTTGTGGGGCTAGAATACTCAGAGTTGCATCTTGTCCTTATTTGTAAGAAATTTATCCGCTCGTCCTTGTAGTAGGCAAAAATCACAAAATTTAGAGCATGTTAGACAATCATTTTGGTAGAAAATAAGAGTTTTGAATGGTGATATTTAGGAGAATTTGTAGTTAAAAAATTGGAAAAAGTTTTAAATATATGTATAGAATATTTTATTGTGTGAATGTATGTTTAAAATGATCCTATTGTTAATCATAAAATAAATTAAAGAGTGGCAAACAGGCACTTTGTGAATGAACTTCTCATTAAGGTATTACTGTTCCATCAAGATGGCGTTTCTTGTTCCTGAATAGGATAGGCTAGTTCAAACAACATGCGGCAATAGAGTATTCAAGGCTTAAGTCTCATTGTCATACTCGTCCATACATGTAAAGGTAACAATGAATCTCCATTATATCCTACTCTGGCAGGTGTGCCAAGATACGACAAGCTTTCTGATCTGACATCACTTGAATGGACTATATATTTGCTTTTCAAGATGGTATAACTCATCAACTACAGTTGCATGGTCACTTTCTTGTACATTCTCTTACATAATATTTGTGCTGACTGCTGATCATATTGGAGTTTTATGCACTGTGGTCTGGCATCTGGCTAGTGTTGTATAAGTGCTGGAAGATTCATATGGGATTGAAGTCATGATCAAGAGCAAGGATTTGATAAAAGGAAAGGATTTATGCTGCAATTCTTATCTTTTCCAGGTAGAATCTCTCTTGATAAAAACCGTTTTCAGAAGTTCTCTGGTGAAAGGATGGAAATTTGGGATGCTGCAAACAGCGAAGTGTTGCATTTGAGGTCCTTTATCGTCAGAATTCAAGTTGATTTTGTTTGGATGGGTTATACAAACCATAATCTACTTCATCTGCAAATCGTATCACCATGAAAATATAGATAAAACATCTCTTTCTGAAAATCTAGAGGTTTATATCGAAAAGTATATTCATAGCAGATTTAGGCTAGTCGTCAGAGGAATATTGTAACCAACGGTTTCCACGACGCATTTTTGGAGGTTCAACAAGATTACGTAAACCAGATATTTCCCTGAATTTTTGACTGCAAACAAACATGCAAGACAAAAGGCCAGCCGAAAAAGGAAACCAAAAGATTTCCTGAACACTCCTCAGTGAGCTAGATGAGGTAGCATGCTTGCAGCACGGTGTGCTTGGACAGCACAGGCACAATGCACAGATGTTAAGTTCAGACAGCCACTTATAATCAGAGAATGCCGGCCAGGGCATGTGTGAAGGGCTGGAAATGAGTCGCATAGTGCCTGAACTGCTGGAGGAGTCAATGCAGTGCACTGGCTGATGTTCAGATTCGTCAGCCCTTCATCCTCGTATTTGTTCTTTGGAGACTCCCAAGTTCCATGCTTGTTCTTTACTCGACTCTGTGCAAGAGAATACATTGCTCTATCTGTGATATTCTGACAGTAGTATAGATCGAGGGATCTAAGGTGAAGGCAATTATTCGCCAGCGCAATCACACTCTCGTCTGAAAAAATGCCCATTAATTAGCACGGGACACAGATTGAACTCACAAATAAGAAGTAATCACGCGTATACATCAATTCTATCTAACACGACAAGCGGGTCAAGAACAAATCATAAAGTTGCCCCATACTAGAATTAATCCCAGCCAGCTGATTTCGTTTACAGATGACTTAAGAAAATTGCACTCCAGCAGTTCAACATGTCTTTCCTGGAAAAGTATGTTTTTCTTAAATTTTTTCGAGGACACGGGGTCAAAACTATTTTTTAATTCGCAGGTGGCATCTTGCAATATCGATTAAAACATACAGGATTTCCTACATTTAAGCCGCTTTGCATCTAAACGTCAATTCCACGAGTCCCAGTAAAATTGATTGACATTTTAATTAACTCAAAACATAATCTCAATTATAGTAGAGCACATGAAATCAATGTACCAACTTCACCAGTGGTACATCAATATCATAGAACTTCATGCTGAATAATCTCTATCTATATACCGAAAAAGTCTACTTCCCCCAACACAGTACAATGAAAGTGAATGCAATAAAACAAAGTGAATACCTGTTATAAGAAGACAGCCGCACAAGTCAAGGGCTCTAAGATCAGGGCAACCATACGCTAAACTCTTCACGCCTTCATCACCAACTTGATCACACCATCCCAAATTTAAAGACTGCAATTGATTGCAGTTGAATCCAATGGCCTGCATAAATGTAGCATTTACATTTTAACAATCCATGACTAGTAGTTGGCTGAGGTAACTACTTTCAAGTATATTTTTGTTTCCGAACGCGTTCAGATAAGTTACTTTTTTCTTAGTTTAAGTAAAAAAATTACTAATTTTTCAAGTAACCGATACCTTCAAAATAAGCACCTTATTTCAAATATGGATCAATAAAAAATGATTTATATTAATACTTGTATAACTTGGCTGAACATTATGCTACACTGGTTTTCATACCTTTAATGCCCAATCAGTTGCAGCGTTAACACATCCACAAAGATTTAAGAATTTCAATTTTCTGCAAAATCCCGAGAGATATGCCAGAGCAGTATCACTGAAGGCAGAACACCCACTGATATTCAGCTTTGTAATATCTGGGCAACCGTGTGCTAAGGCATACAACGAGTGATCGGTAAGTTTAAAACTCTTGCTAAGGTCCACTTCTTGCAAGTTGTGGCAGTAACTTGCAATGGTTTCAACTGCATTATCCTGAAGCTGTGGCGTATCTTGTCGCAGAATCAAAACCTGCAATTTCTTGAAGTTTGGAAAGAGTGATAGAACCAAATTATTCATGTTCTTCTTGCACCTGAATGAAAAAAGATATCAAGTTATTAATCACCAGAAAAATTAGGCAAGCAGAAAGCTGCAAACAGGAGATAAAGATCATAAAATACTGCCACTCTCACACATTGATGACAGAGTAAGCACTTAACAACCTTTCATGCATAACTGTACTTTAGAATGTGTGTGTAGAAAAATTAGGCAAGTAGAAAGCCGCATACGGGAGATAAAGATCATAAAATACTGCCACTATCACACATTGATGACAGAGTAAGCACTTGACAACCTAGCATTCATGCATAACTGTACTTTAGAATGTGTGTGTGTGTATAACTTGCAATTTTAGGCACTTAAAATGAGTTACTAACAATAAAAACCACTGGAACAAAAAACAATGAAATTAACATGAGATTATCTACAAGTTAAGAAGAATGACCCGATTTATAGGTTTCCATTTAGAGCAGAAAGTATCTTACATAATCAAACTATAATGGAAATAATTCAAGAATATAAAAAATATCATTAACATTCAACATAATTTATGAGCAAGAAAAACCATACAAATGAAGTGTGGAACTATTCTCATAACTCAACAAGAAATATATTGGTTTCTACAATTACGAGTCTCCACTTGGGTGAATGAGATCCACAAAAGGTTCCCCTGCTGCTCTCTCCCCTTTTGCCCTTCTCCTGTTCATATTCTCTAGAGAAGACAACACAACAGAAATACAAGCATAGTAGAGAATGCTCAGACTGCAATTTTTATCACATTCAGAAAAACCATCTTGCCTTTGGGGAAATTGAAGACTCCATAAAATTAACTCCTATTTGGTTTAATTAAAAATAGATTTTGGGAAAAAAAAAGGTTGATGAAATGTGTGGTTGAAAAGTTGACAAAAGTTATGGGTCCCATGAAATTTATGGTAGAAAATAAATTTGAGGAAACATGTGTTTTAGAAATGAGGGCCAAACAGGGGCTAAATATTGATAAGAAAATAACTTCCATTAGATGATATCACAGTTGACTTCACACTAACTCACAGCTTCAAATATCAGCAGAACTAAATTTGAACTAAACTTACAATGCACTTTCACCTTGCATATGATCTAAGAGCATATTTGATACGCAGTAGTAGACCATACTTAAATAGTGCTATGATTTTTTTATTTTTTTTTATAGGTAATCACGTATTTTATAAATCAAAATCAAAAGATAACACACAAGGAGTACATTTTCAGTTTAAACAAGAAATGAACGATAAAAAATTAGGCAACCCTTCTATCGGACTAGTGGTTGCAGCATTAAACCAACTAAACAAAGTCGAATAAAACAATTCTCTAAACTGTTCTATCGTCCGTGTTTGATCTTCAAAGCACCAGCCGTTTCTTTCTCTCCACACGCACCAAACAATGCATCCTGGAATGAGATCCCAAACAAGCTTGCACTTCTTATCTCGAAACTTTCTCTTCCATGCCCGCACCACGTCTTCTATATGCCTTGGCAACACCCAGCTCATATGTTGCGAAGCTAAGATATCATTCCACAGCCAACGGACACCGTCACAATGGATGAACAGCTGATTGATCGTCTCTCCATCACTCTTACACAAATAGCACCATTCTATAATATAACATCCTCTTCTTCGAAAATTATCCGCCGTTAACACCTGCCCCCTTACAGTCGTCCACAGTAAAATGCCACCCTTGAAGGTAATTTCCATTGCCATACCCTTTCCCAAGGGAATGAGCTCTCCACAGGTTCCAATAAGGATTTTAAATAAGTGCGAACAGAAAACATGCCATTCCGTGCCACCTTCCACCTGCTACAGTCCTACACTCCTACATGAATGTGCACCTCATACAACGAGGCCAAAAACAATGCATAATCATTCAATTCCCAATCATGAAGCCCCTTCCGAAAGCAATATTCCAGCTAGGATTCCCATTATAAATAGTCATAGCATCCCTCACCATAATTGAAGGCTCCAAGGCAATGCGATGCAAAGAAGGAAACCGAGCTTTTAGTGATTGATCTCTACACCAACAATCCTCCCAGAATCTGACATTCGTACCGTTCCCCACCACAAAAGTCAGTCTATTTTGAAATTCACTCCATCCTTTCTTGATATACCTCCACAGGCTCACCCCATAAGAACCACGACCCTCGCCTGAACACCACCCGCCCTTCATAACACCATACTTCACCCCTATAATTTCTCTCTAGAAGCTCTCCCTCTCACTTCCAAATCGCCACAATGATTTTTAACTTCTTTTATTATTTATTTAATCATGTCCAGTCAAGGCCAGTCCACCTCATCAAACATGCCATAATCAAATTGTCTCCATGGCAAATAGAAAACAAACAAAAACTGTTTACAAATAATCCTTTTAGTGCATGGTTATGGTCCGCAGTATTGGATAATTCTAGAAAGTACTGGGAATAAGATTTTAACAATGTTTATAATTATCCAAATTTTCCTACCAAACATGCCATGAGAGATTCCTGTCAACAAGTAAACATATTGGTGCTCACAAGTAAATTTTAGTACTACAGAAGACTAACTATGTTTTCTTCCTTAATCTTGTCCAATGCAAAATTCTAAACACAACATTAGGTCATGTTTGGTGCACCGAATTAGATCAGAAAGCCTTTGGATAAATTAGATGGTTAAGATGAATTCTTGGCAAGATATTTTTTGGCTTGACTCTTGGTACCATAAAAATGGGGTTTTGGTTTCTGGAATACTCTTCCTCACTCTCTGTAAATGCTCTCCTTCTTCTTCTCGGTTGAATCGACCGCTCCTCCTCCAATTTTGGCTGTACCCCTAAATCGACCTTGGTTAACCTTACCTGTGTAGACTTAGGCCTGGAATAGTGGCTAAGTGCTGGTTCGTTCTTGAGGGGTTAGGTTCGATTTAGAGGGTTGTTCTTGGCTGCTATGGTAGATCCTTTGGATCGATGACCCAAGCCAGGTGTTGAGCGTTCTTTACCGGTTCTTGCACTCTCTATGGAAGGCGATTTGCAAGCTTGGATGCTGTTCCTGAGCCTATGCCATTCGACCGAACTGAAGTGAAGAACGACCGGTGAATGGAGGAAGAGGAAGGACTGCTTCTGAAAGATAGGGAAGTAGAGTTCTGCCCCTTTTTTATTCTGCCTTTGTTTTCTGTCCAGTATATATGCTAATTTCAATTCCTAGGGTTTATGCATATTCTGTTAATGCTATGGGAAAAGTTTGATTGCCATTGAATACTGATTTCTTTATGTTGTAATTGGTGATTACATTCTGCTGGGGTTTGAATATTGAACTATCATAGTAGAAAGGGTTGTGGAACTTGTTTATGCTTTGAATATTGCTGTAATTATCCCAACATACAAAAACAGAACTAAATTTGAACTAAACTTACAATGCACTTTCACCTTGCATATGATCTAAGAGCATATTTGATACGCAGTAGTAGACCATACTTAAATAGTGCTATGATTTTTAACTTCTTTTATTATTTATTTAATCATGTCCGGTCAAGGCCAGTCCACCTCATCAAACATGCCATAATCAAATTGTCTCCATGGGAAATAGAAAACAAACAAAAACTGTTTACACATAATCCTTTTAGTGCATGGTTATGGTCCGCAGTATTGGATAATTCTAGAAAGTACTGGGAATAAGATTTTAACAATGTTTATAATTATCCAAATTTTCCTACCAAACATGCCGTGAGAGATTCCTGTCAACAAGTAAACATATTGGTGCTCACAAGTAAATTGTAGTACTACAGAAGACTAACTATGTTTTCTTCCTTAATCTTGTCCAATGCAAAATTCTAAACACAACATTAGGTCACCAAACCACGTGGCTTAATCTAGTCTTAAAAATCTTAGTATAAATTATAATGATTATTATAGATGGTAGTGTAGTGGATTAACGTGGATAGTATTTATTAACTTTTTATTTAAATGAATGTCATTTAGTATATCTTCCTTATCCAGCCTAAACTTACCTCCAACATTGGTATATTATGCGGTGGATAGTGGTACTGCTAAATCAATGTCTGTAGAGTAAAATAACACTATCCACCTTAATCCAACATAATTCAATCTTCCTAGTAATATCCATTATAACTCTACACAAAATTCTTATACGGCTCCAGTGCACCAAACATAGCCTTAGTACTGTTAATGTAATTCGCAACCATATCATTACACTATGTGATTTCAATTAAAACTGCTCAACAAGTTCATGGAGAAATCAGATTGCATAATAAACATCAACTCAAAGTGTAATCTCTTTTTATCTTGATTGGAAAGATAATAAGAATCTTAAAAAAATGCCATACAGACAGCCTTGAAAAAGAAAATTATTACATTAAAAAAAAAAAAGTTTGATTATCAACTTCTGTTTAAGCAATTTTGTAAAACTCATGACAGTAGTTATAAAGAAAACACAGAATCATGATCCTCTAATTTAGACACAGGGCAGCCTTAAACACTAAAATTTGTGTGAAAATTCATAATATGGGCTCAGAATATTCTGTATATACCAAGAAAGGGATAAATGGGTGAGACCCCATGAAATGGCATCCCTCCATCCATGACAGACCCCAGAAGCCACAACCACCGTCCGATCATCCACCAAAGAAAGAATCCTCAACAACAGCTCCTCCGGTATATCTTTCCACTCACTAATCCTCCACCGTCCACCGCCGCCGGCGCCACCAGCAAAAATCAACATATTCTCAATTCTCAAAACACAAGCCAGGACTCTCTGTTTCTATCATTTCACACAGTCCTGATCCTCTCCTATATCTCTTCTTATATATAAACCCAAAAAAGTGCTCCCCTTTCCACACTGTAAAAAATGGTAAAGAGTTCGTGAGTATTAAAAATGTGAGAGAAAGACGGGTTAGAAAAGAGACAAAGTTCGAGGTATACCAGGTGTCAACAACACAGAGCTGTTGAAAGGAGACTCATCAACTTATGAAATTCTAGTAATTTCATTTTCACTGGTAAAAATATTAATTTTAAATTTACTTATTCACTTATATGTAAACGTTTTTAAGCATAGACAAACATTCTCTTAAGAAAGTCAAGAATATTTTGATTTTATTTCAGGGGGAATTAGTGATGCCTAATTGAGTATTTGAATTTCCAACTTTTATTATTTATTATTTGATATCTAACCTTTTAAGTTTGCAATAATAAACTCCTTTTGTCAATTTGACTATGATAATTGAACTAATTATATATTATTTTTCGATGAGAGAATAAACAAATTGGAAAGTAAAAGAAAAGGGATATATATTATTCTCTTATCATCTACAATGCCTTTATTTATACTAGTCAGTGTTGAATGTGTGTTGAGTGTTATTTCGAAATACTTTACAAGTGCGGTAAAAATAATATTTTATACCAATTCGTAGGAAAGATTTGATGAGTCTCAAACGAACTAAAAAAAAAATTATGATAGAAATTTAAGAGAAGAAAATTGTACTCTCAAAATTAAACTTCTATGATTCAAATTTTTTGTGATGATGAAATACTACAAATGAGCAACATTTTTATACTATATTTGGTACACAATAATTAATTACTAGGGTAATGTTACATGTACACACACACTTTTACACAATCTTTTACACCTCTCTCACATGAAGGGGGGTCCACGATTATTTTATTATGTGTGGGCCCCTCTCTATGTGAGAGAGGTGTAAAAGATTGTGGAAAAGATTGTGTACACTTTACATTATTCTAATTACTAATACATAAATTTAAACTCACATTAAGATTCTAAAATATATTAATAGAAATAAATTAATTTATAATAATTTTAGATTCATGTAGATAAAAAATTATCAAGTCAAAATTCATTGAATTTAGATTGACGTAAATGTTAATTAATTGAGAATTAATGACACGAAATTCATACATGACAAGGATTTTATATTATTTATTACATAAACAAAAAGAAATGTATTATTGAAATAATTAAATTATAGTAGGGTTAAAATTGTTCAAAAAGTAATTCTCGATTGATGTGATATTTAATATATTATAGATATTATTTTTTAATCATTGTCCATTACATTCCTATAACATCATGGATTTTAAAATAAAATTTAAATTGAAAAATATAAAATTTAATTAAATAAAATGATACAAATTAGGTTCGAAAATTAGGGACGGAAAACATATTTCTCGATCTCGCCCCATTTATCATTCAAAGTGGGGCAATATCCTAAATTATACATGAAAAATATAAATTTTCCTCTTGGTAAGTGCTTGTTCTTCTCATTGGTTAGTATATTTACATTTTATCTCGCCATACAAGCTATTAAGATATCTTTGTGAAAGTGCATGCTTCTCAAAACATTATTAAATTGGTGCTATTTCTAAAATTTGTCTTGGCTAATTATTTGGATTATGGACAGCCCACGTGGCAACCTCCAAATAGTTCTTTGGCTGTAGCATGGATTGTGCTAGTTGAGGAAGGATATTAACCGTCTAATCAAATGGATGGTTGAGATTTACTCTTGGTATAAACATTTCATTTAATTAGGTGGACGGTTACAATACTAATACTTTTGATTTTTCTATTGTCTCTTCTGTTTCTCTCTAGACTCTTCGTTTTTTAGGGTTTTCTTTCTTCTTCTCTTTTGGGTTGAAATCCTTCCATGTAACTCTAGGGTTTGTGATTAATCTTGTAATATTTGTCTAACTACAGTAACTCTAGGCCATGTAAAGTCTGCGTTGTTCTAAGGTTTGGTTAGGACTGGTTAGGGTTAATTGTTGTGAAGGATTTGTGTCTTGGATTTGTAGATCCATACGAATCAATGATCAAACTAGAGGTTCTGGGTAGTTTGATGTACACTATACTCTCTCTTGAAAGGCTATTTTGCACTAATAGAATGGGCTACAGTCCATAAGCCCCCAGACTGGGCCTATTGGCTAAACTGGGTCAACAACTTTGGTGTTCTTGCATTTTTATTTTGATTACGTTATGTGATTGTGTTTTACTTTGGTTGTTCAACTAATTATTTCATCAAAAATCCTTACAAAATCGGAATCACAGCCATTAGGGTTTCTGAATGTGTTTTTTCCTAAAGAAAATAATTTTCCTTTGGGTCGTTTTTGGGGGGATCTGTCTATTTTCTTTAAATCTGTTAAAATGGTTACTGATTAATTTTCCTTTTGGTGTTATTAGTAATCGACTGTTTCGCAGTACGCCAACTGAATTGATCTCCGATGATTGAGTGGATTCTTGATTCCTAATTAGGGTTCTTGAGGGTCTTCTTTACTGTTTTACAACAGTATTTGGTGAGACTGTTTCATATCTCTAGCAAGTATTTTTTTTTAGTTGGTGTGCACGATAGATGATATATGCATGAAATATTGTTTCTGTATAGAAATTAGGTTTGATTTGCATATGTATATGTCTATCTGGTTAGCATGTTGTATTTCTGAGATTCTTGACATATAATTGTTATCATTGCATTAATCACTGATACTAATACAATTCTTGAACAAACGTTATCGATTTCTGTATCATCGTAACTGTTTTAAATTGAATTTTTTTGGAAAACCTTTTCTGCCTAATAGTTGATCTATAATTGAAGATCATACTATGTCCATGAGTACAAACCACCCTTTTACAGAATCTGTAATGGGTTCGAATGTCGAGTTATCGACGAAAAAGGGGTTACTCAATATGGAAGCAGAAAATGAGAGTCATTTGGTCCAACAAAGGGTTGTCAAAGCCCTTGATGATCCTGAAACTTTCTCTGATGAACTTAAAGCTAAACCTGATGAAATTGAAGAGATGAACGAAATTGCATATAGTTCAATAATCTTGCACTTATTTGATAATATTGTTAGACAAGTAGATGAAGCCAAAACTGCTAAAGCTTTATGGACTGCACTTTACACCATGTTTCTTGACTAAAACATTGCCAAATAAAATCTATCTTTTGGAAAAACTGTTTAGTTTCAGAATGGACCCTGGAAAGGATTTAAAAGTGAACTTGAGTGACTTTAGCATCAATGTTAAGAGTCTAGCACACAATGATAAGAACTTTGATGTTGAAGACCTTGCAGTGATTTTATTGAATTCTTTGCCTGAATCTCATAGAGAAGTCAGGAATGCTATAAAATATTCAAGGGATAAATTGACGCAAGCTATAGTGATAGATGCCTTAAGAGCCAGAGAGTTAGAAGTTAGGAAGGAACCTAAATCTAACTCCAGAGAGGAGAGTATGTTTGTTAGAGAAAGAACCTGAGAATAGAGAAAATACTTTTCAACATAAAAGGATGAAAGGCAAATCAAAATGAAGATCAAAATCTAAAGACAAGAGTAATAAAAAGTGCTATCACTGTGGAAAATTAGGGAACTTTAGAAAGGATTGTTTTGATTGGAAAAAGAAACAAAAAGATAGAACAATGGGGAACTGAGTAATACTACTGTAGGATCTGAACTAGATAGCCTACATGTGATGACCGTAACAAGTGATGAAACTAATAAGGACTGAATATTAGATTCAGGTTGTACCTTTCACACGAGTCCCATAAAATCTTGGTTTTATATCTATAAGGATGTAGAACCTAGGAAGTTTCATATGGGAGATAATAATTCTCAGACTGTTATTGGAATTAGTGACATTGCCATTAAAATACATAATAGCATTGTAAGACCAATTATGAATGTCAGATATGTCCCTAATCTCAAAAGAAACCTTATCTCTTTAAGGATTTTTGAAGATGAGGGACATGTTTTTAAATCTGACAATCAGATTCTGAAAATTATGAAAGGATCTCTAATTGTCATGAAAGGACCAAAGAGAAATGGATTGTACTACTTTGAAGGCAATACAATCCCTGTTCCTAATTCCACTCTATTCTCTGTTACTGAAAACAAATCTAAACTATAGCGTAATATGATGGGTCATCTTGTAACAAAGGCTTAAAGTATCTAAGTAACCAAAATCTACTTGGAAAAGATGAAATTGAACTTTTAAGTTTTGTGAGACCTGTGTGTTGGGTAAATCTCACAGAGTGAGCTTTGAAATTAGTTCCCATAGTACAAACAGACCATTGGATTATGTTCATGTAGACTTATGGGGGCCTGAAAAACATCCCACCTTTGGAGGAAATAAATATTTCTTGTCTCTTGTAGATGATTATTTCAGAAAGGTTTGGGTTTAGAACTTGGCTTAAGATGGTAAATAACCAATTAGATAAAAAGTTAAAAACTCTAAGAATCGATAATGAGCTTGAGTTTTGTAACTTTGAATTTGACAATTATTGCAACCAAAAGAGAATAATGAGACATAAAACTGTCAGACTAACACCCCCAACAAAATGGGATAGCTGAGAGGATGAATATGATGAACAAGGTAAGATGCATGTTAATTAACTATGGTTTAGCCAAAGGTGTCTGGGCAAAGGCAGTCACTACTACTACTACTGCTTATCTGATCAATAGATCTCTATCCAGTTTTGTGGACTTTAAAACTCCACAAGAACTGTGGACTGGGAGACCACCAAGTCTAACACACATAAAGGTTTTTGGATGTGTTGCTTATGCACATCAATCTGAGAGAAAGTTGGAGCCTATAGCCATTAAATGTGTGATGTTAGGTTACCCTGAAGGGGTAAAAGGGTACAGGTTTTGGGTTTTGGGTGTGAAGCGCATTAAGATTATTAATAGTAGAGATGTAATCTTTAATAAGAGCCTGTTTG